GAGACGAATGCAACAAAATTTATGAATTCGCCGCCATGTTTGCTATCATTCCGACTGTGACTAAAATCCGTAATGGATCGAACAAAGGAAATTAAACGATCTGCCGCGTCCTTCATGTAAACCACCCCTACATCCGAGAACATGTCATCTAAGGTTTTTACAAATGCGCCAGACATTTTGTGAAACATCGTTTCACTTGCTTTGGTGTGTAATTGCCGTGAGAGCCATCGTGCAGCTATTGTACTACAGGGCTTGAAACTAACCTAAAATGTTCACTAGCCAGCAGGGCTAGTGACTGTAAAATCTACTAGCCCTTAAAAATATCTCCCAGCCCTTACTTTTCTGAAGTGCCCGCGCTGAGGCTACGCAGTGAGTAAAAATTGCCATTTGCGTGGAGGTGGGGGGGGGTGAGTGTGGGTGATCTGGGTTTTTGATTTTAGACGCTCCGAGATGCATTCTGCGAAATTCCTTGACTGTGAAAATTTAGATTCAGCATATATTCAGTATATATATATATATATATATATAAATATACATAATATATATATTATATATCAAGAGCTAATAAATACCTAGAGTGTACAACGGGAAAATAGTGCTATTTCACGGCAATATTATTCTACTTTGTATGCGGTTCTAGACTAAGTTCATGGTATTTGCGTTAAGCCAGCATTCTTTGCTCTCTAAAATAAGACAACCGCTTGTCTCTACGATACTGCCCAGGCCGAGATATTGGAGCGTAATCATGCCTCCCACAGGCCTCAGTAGAATAATATTGCCGTGAAATAGCACTATTTCCCAGTTTTTCCATTGTACACTCTAGGTGTATATTAGCTCTTGATATATATACATATATATATACTTACATATATACAAATACATCAGTACTATGTTATAAGAGCAGAATAATTCCTTATAGTAACTATTAGTCAGTCTACGGAAATATGAAAGTTCATGTTTAATTTGAACCGTTTGTGACTATCTCTACTACTCTAGTAATTCTTACTACAAGTACAGAGTTTGTTAGTAGTTAGTACAAGTACAGTATAGAGTTATAAGTAGAGTTATCCTGTTTGTGTTAGTTTGAGATTTGTATAGTTGTACGTATTGCTTAGTTGACTGAATATAAGCCACATAGAAGCGTGTTATGCTAGTGTTAGGATGAACATCGTATTATAAAAGGCTTAGCATACCAGTTACAGGAATGTAGGTAGGTTATTTTCATAACAGTACCTGACAAAACCATGACTACTATTCCACGTTAATTATAGACACAGAGACTGGATTGTATATTAACCAGGGTGATTCAACTCCGGTATAAGTAAATTTGCGTTTCTAATTTGATAGTTAGCAACCGTCAAATTGAAAATATCTTCGATTGAAAGGGGAGGGATTGTAGTGTTTAACCCTGAGGTCAGCTGAAACGTAAACTAAGTTAACTACCGGTTCCACGAACGTAAACAGAAACGCATTGCGTATATACACTGTGAGGGGATTGGCATGAGCTTGTGAATAGAGCAGCATGGTGGTTGGACCGATTTTATTGTCTGAGGTACTGTGACTGTTTTAAGTTTAGGTTTTGCAATTTTATTATGTTTACACGCGCAAATTTTATATTACTTATCACTATTTCGGTCGGGTTAGTAGTTGCTGAAAAAGTACTAGTAATATGTTATCTGGTAGGCATTCCCACTCGCCAACAGGGCTGGTCAGACCAGACATTCTACTAGCCCTTACTGATTTCTACTAGCCTCGGGCGAGCGGGCGAGCGTTAGTTTCAAGCCCTGTACTATTTCTGTAGTATTTTCTAGCGAGTCTTCCGTTTCGGGTTTTCCGTGCCTCGTTAAACATCGCGGGTAAAGCTGATTGGAAAGTTGATATGCTGTGAGAATTAGCAGATTATACCGTGAATTAAGAGATACATTCTAGTTTAGAAGCTGGACAACTGTGAGTTAATGTTAATATTTCAAACAAGGCAAGTCAAAGGTGGTAATAGAATAGTTTTATTTGAGATATACAGAGTTATTTATCTAGATCTGCAGAGAGGTGATAGGTTTTTTGTATGGAAGGGTGTCAGGCTGTATAGACAATCCGTCGCACAGCCTGGTCGGGCTAGATAACAGGGCTGCCAACATTGGGTGAGAGTGAGATGCCAGGGAGCGAAGCGACTGAGCGGGGGGTGGGTGTGGGAAAATGCACCAATTTGTGCAATTTGGTGCATACTAAAGTGACTATTTTCAGATATTGTAAGATTTTTTTTGCTGTGCGTGAGATATTTCAGCGTTTTATTCATGAAGCATGCGTGAGATATCTCAGCATTTTTTTGCTGTGCGTGAGATATTGTAAGATCAGCGTGAGAGTGTGAGATTTGGTCAAAATGCGTGAGTCTCACGGTCAATGCGTGAGAGTTGGCAGCCCTGTGATAAGCACAGCCACAGGCACTTGAAGCGTTTCAATAAAATATATTGCTAACTAAATACGAAATCTATTTACTACCAAATTCTTAATGTTTCTATACTCTTCTTTCACCTATTATTGCCGACAGTTTCCTGTAAATTCCGTCCAAATCCTATGTGCAACAAACACTGACTGCCGCCATTCCTCACGCGGCTGCAGTGTGCACACTGACACTTATATCCTATAGCAGGTAGGAAAGCGGGATCGCAAAATTCGCTCGACGCTCGCTTGATTTCACACTTTCACAGCACGAATACACATCCAACAGCTGCCATCTTTGTTTCTATGTCAAGAACATTGTTCACTTGTTATAAAAATATACTGTCTCTGTTCGTAACGAGCTGTGTCACACGAAATCACACAATGACTGACGAAATTCTCGAGTTCGCGAACCTTGCCCAGTAATGTAAATGGCTGCAAGTAAAGGTGAAAGTGTGAAATCAAACGAGCGTCGAGCGAATTTTGCGATCCCGCTTTCCTACTTGCTATATATATAAGTGTCAGTGTGCACACTGCACCCGCGTGAGGAATGGCGGCAGTCAGTGTTTGTTGCACATAGGATTTGGACGGAATTTACTGGAAACTGTCGGCCAATAATAGGTGAAAGAGAGCTATAGAAACATTAAGAATTTGGTAGTAAATAGATTTCGTATTTAGTTAGCATTATATTTTATTGAAACGCTTCAACTTCAAGTGCCTGTGATGATAAGGGTACTGTTTCAGTGCGTGTTTGTATCAGACAATCAGGGTGCAGAACGATATATAGTTACTATAACTATTTTTATTCACATAAATGCTCAGCCTCCATGATGCAATTCCTTCATTCCTATTATCCACTACAGATGGCAGCACCAGATGGTGTATGACCAGATCTGTGATTGTTACAGGTACCAATTCTGAATTCATTTTGCTGCTCAATCCTAGTTTGGGAACCCGGCCCACGGGCCCTCATTTTCGGAAATGTGATAAACAAAGCCGAGGTGCTAACCTAAAATTGGGCCCATTTTGCTACTGGGGACAATAATAACCTATTTAACCAATGCCCTGCTATGTGATGATAATTGATCCAGAGAGACATGATACAAGATTGCGTGGCACAGCTTTGCTGTTGATCTTGAGTGCTGCGCGTGGATGAGACGCGCAGTTCCGCGGGATATGAGCACGCGACCGCGGGGATGTTCAAGTATGAAGCGCTGTCCGCAGTGGAGACGTGCGCCAAATTCGAGGCCCGGCGCACGTCGCCACAGCGGTCAGCGGATGGTCTGTAGTAGTGATGTAACGATCATCGGTTGAACAGTGGCTCGAACCAAGCGCTTGGTTATCAAAATTTCCATAATCAATTTAATAAAAAATAAAAAAATCTTTTTTTTAAATTTGAACAAGAAAACTTGGAAAAGTGATGAGAATCAGTACATGTATTATACACACAGTAGTAAACAGTGCAAAACAAACAGTAAACAGGGCTAAACAAGCACATACATGCACACGACGTTACGCACACGCAGGCATTCAACACCCCGAGTAACCGATTGTAACCGATCATCGGTTACTTGGGTCCAACCGATGATCGATTACGAAATTACAACCGATTGACAACACTAGTCTGTAGTTTTAGAAGATAACAATGAAGACTTTGTTCTAAATAAGAACTATCGGCGGCTAAATAAGAGCAATATATACAGACCTTTGAATTTCTTGATTAGTCGGTCAAAGGGCTTGTTTGGGATGAGGTGCATGCCTCCGATATATCCATTTCGAAGCCCGCTAAGCCAAGCGTAAAGCGCGCGGGCAAGACGTCACACACACAGCTACGTTCATTGGCTAAAACAATCGAGTAGCACAGTCAGGGATTTTCGGAATTGTTTAATTTTAAGAAAAACTTCAATGTTCAATGAATGACGCACTCGTTCACTTCCGAAAGCGGGTAAAAATGCCAAATTTATTTTTCCACTTCGGTGCGAAATGCATCGGCCGGCCCTTTCATTATTTACGAAAAGCAAACAGTCTCGCCAAACACCTACACGCAGTAACGGGTCACGTCGTTGACGCCCCGTTCATGCCCATCAACGAAGAAGGCGGGGCTTATTCTGATTACGAAAATGCAACAGAAGGACGTAGCGCAGTGCGCTAAACAGCGTGTTATTTTCGTATTTGTGCCAAACTCTATCGTAGGAAACCGTTCTAGCCTAGCAGAATGCCCTAGTTCCTTAGATCGGCGATTTGGTGGTCCAATGGGTCCCCATATTTAAAAATATAAAACACTGGTGCGGCGTAGGCTGTGATTGGAAGACACAAAGTGTCAATCCTGGGCGCGCCTCGGCATCATGGCCGCATCACGTCTAGTGGGATTGATAATTCAATTGAAAAATGATAATTAATATGGGGGTGAGCTGACGTGTGTCACAGGTAACACCAATAGAAAAAAAAACACTCCACTGTAATGGGGGGCGAAGAAGCGATTGTAGGCTTGATCAGACCTAGACTCAGGCGCCATTATTCCTTGTATCGTTATTTTTACTTTGCCCTTTTTCTTCTACTTGCAGGAAATATTTCAAATAGTTTCTTTGTAGGCAGGTGCTGACGTCACAAGAACGAGAAAAACTTTAAAGATCTTCCATTATTGCAGATAGTGAACACTGAACAGACAGGCAGGTAAGCAATGTAAGTACAGATAAAAATGTGTAAAAATAATAATTGCAACATTTTATTTTCTTAAAATACAGTAAACTGTTTAAAGAAACATGGATGTATATATATGCTATCTTCAGGAAAAATTATCGCAAGATAAATATCTTATCTGTCTAACATACAATAGGTTGGGATGTCTTCATTTTGTGGAATTATAGCATATACTTGAGTTTTTCTTACAAAAATATTTGTTATTATTCAGACATGCATATATACTTATCCATGTAGCCTATAGCTTAACTAGAGAATTCATAAATTCACACTTGTGTAGATTTTGGCACAATTACTTCGGTTTGTGTACATGCGAGGCCCCCAGCCCTTTTACGCATGTCAGTTCCGAAATGCCATCAAAGCCAATATTAGTTTGGGACATCACATAAATCCTCCGACATGCATAAATCTCCAGCTGCGTTCACCTTTGACAATCGCAACACAGTCGTGCTGTGTTTTCACAGCTTGATGTGTACGTCTCCGAACTGATTGAGTTTTAAACCTGTGTATTGGGGTCGCCTACATCACGCGTAATTGACTGCAAGTAGCACTCGCGAATGAAGTGCCTGATTGCATTACATACATGCTAAAATTTCTGTGAAGATCCCTGACATGTTAACTGTTCATGATAAGGCATAAAATAAATTAATAGTTTCAGCTGACTCCTGTTTTTGTATGTTAGGACTCGGCAGCATGAACTTTCTGTTTGCTTCTATTTTAACTTGCCTTTGTAACAACTCAATTAAAATATAAACGTGTATTTCATTTATACAATAAATGACTAATAGTAACTCACAGAGTGTGCATGGGATTTTTATTGTGCAGGTCACTGAAGCAGTTTTAATACACAAAGGTAACAGGCAGGGAATAATTTTCCCGGTATCGCATCGCAATTCGCGATGTATTTTCAGCCATTTGCTACGCATATTTTTTTATGAATCGCAGTTGTGCGATGCAGCCCATGCGAGATGTAAACGGAAACATACATGTTTACAATTTACTTTTATTCTCGGGCTGCTTTGCCCCGTCAATGAAATGCCACGTTACGCCGATTTTATTGACTTGTTAACACCAAGGCCAACGTGACTTTTAAACAATCTTGCACTCCCCCCCCCTCCCCGTACATCAATCAATATGCCGCCCCAGGCACGTATACACAGCCACGCTGTGCTGGCGCTGCACGCTCTCGCGGGCTGCTTTCTTCGGCGACCTTTGATAATATAAAGTGAGGATGTCGTGGTCGAGGAGTCGGATAGCCGCCCTTCACAATCGCTAGAACTGTATTTCATCAATGTTTGGATATAATATATAACGTAAGGAACCAACATTTGATTAAAGCTTTAGACAATTATTTTTACTCGCCAACACGGGCGAGTCAGTTTTAGCTTTGACTCGCCCGATATATTATTTTCACTCGACATTGGCGAGCGGGCGAGTGCCAAGCTCGCACGCTGTTTAAACGCTGCCGGGCAGCGTACAGAATCGCTAGTGTGTCCTAAGCTAGCTGTGCCTGTCACAGGCCGACACGATAACACGCCAAGCATGCACTGCGGTGTAAATTTGCACTGTGATTGTCTGAAAAAAATGCTATACAAATTTATCCAATTGCTATGCAAAATTTATTTTGTATAGCACATTTGCTATGCAAATTTTGGGCTGGAAATTGTTCCCTGGTAACAGGTATATTTTGACTGATACTTGAATGATTTTAGTTGCATAAAATATTTCTGATTGTTATGATATATTTTCTATTTTTATAATAGCGATCACAGTGGCCAGAACCACATTAGCACTACTGCACAGTAGCACCTAATCGTCCTATCCACTTGTGATGCATTGAGATGGAATTTATAAAATCAATAAGTGTCAGTATTGATCAACCATTTGCAAGCCTTTAACTTTAAAAAAACATTACTGTCTAGTGATATTTTGCCCCGTCAAAATATAGGAAAAACATTTAATTAAGCGCACGTGTGCTCAAATCTTGGGGACAATTTCACCGTTTTTTGTGAATGTGAGTGCTCATTCCACACTTTTTTAACTGCCACGGGTGATTTGCTGCACGTTATGCAGTTGCTAGCTTGATCTCCTGGCATCTAGCCAAAACTGAGCTTACTGTGTCAGTATAACCACCAGCAGTAATGTCGAGTATGTGTTATCGTCCATGTGCTGATAACAGAAGGCTGTTATCTGCAAATTTGTGTGCATGGTTGCATACATGCAGCTGTTTAGATGGCTAAGCATGCGAGTTGTTGGCAGTAACTGCAGTCTTTGGTACAGTGTAAGTCATTAGGCATATAATAATAGACATTAGAGGTGCGCGGTATTACCGGTATACCGCGGTACGTGACCTATACCGGTACGTACCACGGTACTTTGTGTGGTGTAGTGGTGTACCGGCTTTTTTTAGCTATTTTTATCATATCAATTTTATTTCACTTCCTCGTCATTGCGTAGCTTTATAAATTCATCTCCGTCGATCGACACCATTTACGCTATATTCGCGTATTTCCAGCACCTATTCTATATGCCTAGTAGATAGTCTGCGCTGTTTTATTTGTACATGCTTTATTACTTCAGACTGGTTCTAGCCGTACGACACTCCTACTCTCGCTCATGTTTGTTCCAAAGGAATTACAAGATATAGCAGATTACAAGAATAACGCGACGCAGCGACTGCCAGGCGTTTTTCTATGAGCGCGGCAGCGGTGCCTTTGATAGGAGAACGGGGCACGATTGATCACGAGCGCGTAGCGCATTTCGCTAAAGCCCGCCACGAGTCCTTGACCTTCGAGTTATATTCCTCTGACCTGTTCTTGAAATCGCGGTATAATGCGGTAATACCGTGGTACTTTGGTAAAATACCCAACTCTAATAGACATCAATATTTTCCATGTCTAACCTTCGATTGGTAGTGGTAGTAGTGGCCACAATAGGAGCTATAATAATACCAGCAGAGGAACACTGTTGTGGCATAGAAATTGTTACGTATACACACTGATTATTTCAAGTTAAAACGTATAAGGAATGCTAAAAATTTGCTTTATTTGTGTATAATATATTAATGGTTTTTTGGATGCACGATTCTTAATTTAGACCTATCTTCATCTAAGTAAGGTAAATAATTACATAATCTAAGTAATCCACGTATATATAGTAAATATATCGTGTGTATATCGTTCTTGAATGCGCTGCCCCATCTAGGTCGGGAATTCCCAATTGCAAATCTGTTGTATTGCACAGTTTGACCATATTAGTAAATATTCTCAGTAGATGGCAGCACAATCGTATTTATATAACGAAGTTCATCGACTAGAGTATGTTAGTTGGGCTTGAATAATAACATAGGTTGGTATCCAATAAATTTTACCAGTAATAAAATTTGCATTGCTGATGGTCTTGGCATAATGGAAATGGACAGGTAATGGTAGATTGAAGAAAAGCACGTTGTTGTAGGTAAATAATTGAATAGTTCTGAATCCACTCAATGCTGACTCATTTATTATCCAGCACACAACAGCCGGTAGGTGTAAATCTCTTGTAGAGGAGGTGTACCCGAGTTAAAGCCTTTGAACCTGGAGTAGCTCTGTTTCAATCAGACGAATTTTTGCACATTGCTCGTTTGGATTTTCAGAAAACAAGTTGGGACTTTTCCCTGTCAAGTTTTATTTAGGCTGTGACTGATGCCTTCAAAGGAATGCTACTTGGCACTGTGAAAATTGAAATTATGGGTACTTTTAACGCAGTGGCTACGGGTACGCCAGCCGTCGGTCGTTGAAGCCCCTTTTTGGCGTTAGGGTTAGGGTTAGGGTTAGGGTTA